TAAAATAATCGTCACCGGTGGTGGCCGTGAGCAAGAATTAAACTCGGGTCGCCGAGTTCGTAGTGCAGCGTAGCGCTAACCACTACACTACCGCTCCCCCCACACACAAACACAGACACACACACAGACACAACACACACAGACAGCACGCTAACCACTACACTACCGCTCCCCCCACACACACACAGACACAAACACAGACAGCACGCTAACCACTACACTACCGCTCCCCCCCCCCACACACACAGACACTTACACAGACACACACACAGACAGCACGCTAACCACTACACTACCGCTCCCCCCACACACACACACAGACACACACACAGACACAAACACACAGACAGCACGCTAACCACTACACTACCGCTCCCCCCCCCCCCCCACACACACAAACACACAGACAGCACGCTAACCACTACACTACCGCTCCCCCCACACACACACACAGACACACACACAGACACAAACACACAGACACACACAGACACACACACAGACAGCACGCTAACCACTACACTACCGCTCCCCCCCCACACACGCACGCAGACACACACACAGACACACACACAGACAGCACGCTAACCACTACACTACCGCTCCCCCCACACACACACACAGACACACACACAGACACAAACACACAGACACACACAGACACACACACAGACAGCACGCTAACCACTACACTACCGCTCCCCCCACACACACACACAGACACACACACAGACACAAACACACAGACACACACACAGACAGACACACAGACAGCACGCTAACCACTACACTACCGCTCCCCCCCCACACACGCACGCAGACACACACACAGACACACACACAGACACAAACACAAACACAGACAGCACGCTAACCACTACACTACCGCTCCCCCACACACAGACACACACACACACAGACACACACACAGACACAAACATAGACAGCACGCTAACCACTACACTACCGCTCCCCCCACACACACGCACGCATCCATAGGTACACATACACGCGCTTGCTGCAGACACACAACTTCAGGGTGCGTACGGCAGTAAACGACTCAAATAATAAAGCAATGCTGTAAGAAGAACGCCTTAGACCTGCAACACATTTGTATGGCACTTTACCCGCGGAGGGTTGGGGGGGGGGGGAGAGAAAAAAAACCCAGAATTTCATCTTCCTGAAGTTCCAAAAAATAACATCTCCTCCTTCTCGTCCTGCTCCCCTTCCTCACCACCATCCTCGTAGGCTATCAACTCCTCTCAGCAAGGTAAAGTGATGTTAAATTTTATTATTTATTTACATTTATTTTAATTTGTTTATGCATTTATTTTAATTTATGTATGTAATTTAGTAATAAGTAGTGTCAAAATTATTGTATACAACCCCATTAATGTATAATGTGCCATATAAAATATCATTTCTTATACTCTGGAACGGATTATTTAAGTTCCCTTTATTTCCTATGGGAAAAAATCGTTTGGTATTCGTCATTTTCGGTATAAGTCCTCCTACCTTCTGGAACGAATTAACGACGTATACCGAGGTACCACTGTATTGTATTATTATTATTATTACTGTACACTTGTTTATCCTCACCGAGTGTCAAGACTCTTTTTCAGGAAGGTCCTGCCGTGTATTTTTTTTTTTGCAGGAGGTGGACGACGTCGCAATGTATAAGGTGCCCGAGTCGGGGGTCGAACCCAGGCCGGTTGTTGCTGCGAGTCACAAGTGTTACCAACTTGTACCGCCCTGCCCATATCATGCGGGGCCCCGCTGTTAGTGACTGACACGATGCACGCACGCTTCCAAATTGCATGTAGCCATTCTGGCTTGCATTGGATGAACTCCTGAGACTTGCTTTCATGCGGGCAAAATAATTGTCTCGCTGGGGGCACTCTGTTGCTGTTACGACGTTGTGTCAGAGTTCGAGCTTAGTTTTTATTTCAATTTTACACAGTTGCGTAACAGTAACGTTACGGCAAAAATAAAAAAAAAGTTCTCATATAACTGAACAAAAAAAGAGAAATCCTTCCAGGATGAGATCAACGTGGCTCAAGAGAATACGCTTTCTCTGTCAAAGTACTGCAGCAGCACCTTCCAAGATCCTAGGTTCACAGCACAGATTAACCTGCAAGCGCAACATATGCCGAGCATCACTGCCTCCGAACAGTCACTGATGAATTTACAATAAACCCACAATCTAAAGCGGCATCATATGGGTTCCAGCTGTGCCCAGCTCTACAGAAACATACATGGAATCACGGACAGAAGGAAATGTGCGTTTTCCCACTGGCTACTGAGAGACTTGACAAATCCCCTGCAGGATTTAGTCTGTATCTGTGCCCCATTTCAGTACAGTGAGGTCTCAGGGTACACGGGTTCAGAGTATGCGGACCCGCTCATACATGACCGACCCCCGACTCGTACATTCGCTACACGGATGGGGTGGGGAGCAAGTAAAATCACCCCCGCCATCACGTTGCCAATAAACTGCAACTTGAATCACTACCTATGAGATCTTCACTCAAAACTGCTCTAGAGGAGTTGTACACCCCTAGCTGCCACTGCTATTCAGTGGCCTAAAATAAAATAAAATGTTTCGCTCTGGATGACCGCTGCAAAGTATTATCTGTATTTTGATTTAGTGTGCTGTTCTTAAAGGTGCATTGAAAAATGTGATACTCCGACTGATGTTCCTGTTGTTGTTGAGTGACTCATGCAGCCAGCTATGGCTCCAGGGTTTGGTGTTACATGTTATTTATGTAGTTTATTGTAAACAAAATTCGGTCACAGTCCCTATGATCACTGTTACATTGCATTTATGGCTTCATTTTGGTGATTTCAAAAAGTTTTTTTGGTTTGGCCATGTTTGCTTGTTGTAGTGCGGAGTTAGACTGATAGCCTTAATCTAAGTTGCACACAGCGTTGGTGTACGGTGCTTTTTCAGGAATATTTTTTGCTGTTTTTTCCTGGATTTTCTGTTTGCACAGTCACATAGTCACTTTTAAGATGTTTTCTTGTTCATGTTTTTGTTTTTTGTTTGTTGCGGTTGCACCCGATTCAAGAGCCGAATGGCTCACAGGGCTATATACCAAATAAATGAAACTGAAACTGAAAATGTGAACGTGTACAGGCAGTGTCCGGGTTACGGAAGTCCAGACTTACGGAAATCCCACTTTACGGAAATGTTCCCATAAAATGTTGAAAAAAAATTAAACACGTGGAAATGTTTGCGTTAGTTATGCAAGTACAAATAGTGCAGCGTGGTGAGCTTGCAGATGAATACCGCCAAAACGCCGCCTTCACCGAGCCCGAGCTTAACGAGGATTAAGATAAATGGATATTTTTGCAGCGTTACATTATAATCCTCTTCCTTTTGCAGCATTACGTCATTGTTTGTTTTCTATGTCTGGAAATATATTTTCCCCGCGTTTCTATTGCTAGTTTTCTTAATTTTACGTTTATTTCACGAGTTATTTGCCGTATGAACTTCAACACAATTACACTACGATTGCTTATGGTCTCAGCCAACAGCGATTGGAAAAGTCTAGGCCTAGCCAAATGCATGGTAAACGAACATTCGGAAGTGACTGCTTTTTGTTAACAATTAATATAAAAAAATCTTTAGTGGTATTCATCAACAAATGGATACAGTATATGTTCCATTAGTTTAATTATGGGTAGTATTCGGGTAGATATTCGATGAAATGAAATAATAATTTGGAGTACAGAGCGTATGTACAGCGATATGATACAGGTAGCGATAGACAACGGACGGCAGCGCGATACAGTACTGAGACAAAACGAACTCGTCGGATAGAAGAGGCACAACTTTTACCAGCCATGGGATTTTATCTTGATTTTGGGGGAAAATTGTTCAGTTTCTGACCAACGGAAAATTCTGGTTATGGATTATTCTCGGGAACCTAACCCTTCCGTAACCTGGGGGACTGCCTGTATTTGACGGCGTGTAACTGTATCGCCAGTGCAAGAAACGAGTCCACGCAGCTAGCACTTTTCGTATTTATCATATACAGATGATTAGTGAATCATGTACTATACAATATTGTACTTTGTATATAAAATTTATATAAATGGAAATATATTTTTCATACTCTTACATTTTACATATTACACTCATATAGGCGAACCCCAACTTAAGCGAATTCCCGCTTACGCGGGGGTACACGGAACTTAACCCCCACGTGCTATATTTGTAAGCACTCAAACGATGAAAGACAACAAATTCGCTTTGCAAATGAAATTGGTAGAAAGTCTAGTTCAATCCAGAAAAAAAACTATTTCGACAACCAATGCATTAGCTATATTCCGATAACTTCAAAGTATAAGGGACTTAAAGCTCAAAAGGGCACGGTGCATTGCTCATCTCCTTTCCCAGAGACTGGGCCTTGTGTCGCTGGTACAGTACAGTATGTCATGCTAATCCCTCACATTAACATAGCCACTTCCGTGCCCTCGTCGAGGAGGCCGCTCTCCTATCTTACAGTTACATGCTAATTTCTCACATTAACATAATGTTAATCTCTCACATTAACATAGCCACTTCCGTGCCCTCGTCGAGGAGGCCGCTCTCCTATCTAACAGTTACACGCTAATTTCTCACATTAACATCACTAGCCCCGGCCACTTCTTTATAACCAATGAGCTACACCCATTTCAGTCCTTTTAAAAGTCTGCCTTAGCGGCAGACCACGCTTTCCCACCTGATGATGGACGCTTGTTGTGTTGCGCCCGAAACGTCGCGATTTATTTTATTTTATACCTACGTGACTTTACCGAAAGAACCAAAGAGTATCAGGACTGGGGGACCAAGGCAACAAGGGGTATGCATCGCGGTGGCTATACCACTTCTAAGTATGCCATTCTATCCTCAACGCTCACAAGCATCATTAACCCCACTAACCTAGGAGGCTTAATGGGGAATCTTATATTTGGATAGACAAGTGCACCCCTTAGAAGTGTGCCCCCACGGGTACCTGCATTGGAGTTGTCTGCAGATGTTGTAGACATACTGCCACAGCAGACGAGTGGTTACGATGTTGATCTTCCTTGAACTTATTGGAGCACAACAGAAAACCTTCTTTCCCAGCCAAAATAACCGCAGTGCAACAAATGGATTCTGAAATGACAAGACAACGTTTCGTGTTAAGTCAAATTAAGTGTTATATTGATACGGCATTCTTTCTGCGTTGGTTAGATGATTTGTTGTTTTTTACAAGCAACAGCTTTTAAAGCAGCTTACCAAAAATAACGCCTGCTTTAAAAGCCACGGTGTGTAAGGTGGAGGAAACAAATATATGTTTTATATATAAAATGTAAATGGCGCAAATATTGTAGACAGCTCAGTTGACACGGCAATGGCGTATTTCCATAGCGAGCCTGCAGCCTCTAATTTTAGGTTTACAAAAGCATGTACGTACGTGCACAGATACCCTGTGTGGACGTGTATTCCCTTGACAGAGTAAAACGTCTTGCTCACGTTCCATTAAAAATGTGTTGTATAACCATTGATCTCTAATTAAAGGGCAAATTAAGCTTTGATTTTTACAATCATTTAGCACATTTATTTTCCTATCAATAAGTTACAAATTTACTACTGTGTGTATTTCCAATTCTAAATATGTATTATATTGACGTATCTTTTTTTTAAATTTACTATTTGTTTCATTGCAATACATTTTAAGAAACACCTAACAATGAAAATGCTCTAGACAGGATCCTCACTACAGCAGTGTCTTCCATACGCACATAATTTGGTGTGCACACGCACGCACAAGAGCACACCACACCTGTATAAAGAATGCCAACGCAAGTGCACGTTCAACCCTTTAGCATACATACGATACATCCGTTTCGAATAAGTGAAGAACCAAACTTCATTGGAGGAGAGAGTAGTGTTGTATGTGCTTGGCATTTAGGTAAGAGGATTGTGCCAGTGTAAAAGGGGTCGTTACAATTTTCTATAGATCACCCTCTGCATAATACCACATCCGCCGTTTGGAAAAAATGGGACTGTAAAGCATTACATATTAACAGTATTTGTGTAAATAAAATATGAGCTGAATTAGCGACTGTATTATAAGTTCAGCAAGAAGCACAACATTCTTAAAAGTTTATGCAGTGCTGGCTGCTCTCTTGTTTGTGACATGCAACTTGAACTTAACAGACATATCTATGGGACCTTTTTCCAGTATTAAAAATGATGACAAAAAGAATACGCATGTTTTGCTACAAGTATGTGTGGCTAATGCAGACTTGCTTTGCAATAGGTATCCATTTGGCGTCTGCACATTTTACAACTGTTTTAGTGCCAAAAAGGGTAAGACCTATTCTTCTTAATGGACATAGGTAACATATTTGAACCAAATAGCGAATGTGTCACACATTCAAAATACAAAAACAAATGCATTTCTCATCAACTCAAATCACCTTAAATTACATTTCAACTCAACCATTGCAATGGCTTTCTGCAGTCTAGCTAAGGGAACCACGAGTGATGATGTCCCTTTGCAGCACAAAGCATATGCAGCATCAACCTGCAAATTGACGAGAGTCTGTCAGTAGGGGGTGATGACGTTAAAAAAATATCCTCCCCCAACTAAGTAATCATTCAATTTGAACGGTGAAGCCACGACCTATTTCATTTTTAATAGCCTCACGGGACCTTTAACGTTCACCGTGAATCAGACGGCGTACACTAAAGGTTAATGCACCCTGGAGAATTGACCAGGGTGGCCGCTGGGCTCGAACCGTGAGCCACTGCAACAGGCAGGAAACAACGCTACTGCTCGACCTTGTCACCATCGTACAAATGTAAGAGTAGCCCCTCCGGAAATAACAAAGTTTAATCATCTTGCATCTTGAATTATAATGCCCATACAGCTGAGAACTGCTGGCTGAAAAATGGTATACATGCACTTGAGCTTTGTTAATATACAATGATACACACACATGGCCTTATATAGCAGGTACACTTTTGAAGTTAAATCAAGGTGGACGAGATCCGGTTGGAATGCTTTAAAAAAAATCAACTTGTGCCTAAATAAGATCGTGTTTAAAAACAAACATATACGTGCATAACTACATAAGCACAGCATGCTATGACATATGCATCGGAAAGATTGTTGTTGTCGAAGAGAACGTAACAAAAAAAACTGACGTGTGCAAAAAATAAAGAGATGTGTGCTTGGAATTACATTGGGAGATAGACAGAGGAACACAATTATTAGAGAACATACACACATTTATGAATACATTACAGCTGATAAGAGCAGTAAGTGTTCTTGGGCAACATATCCACATGAATAACAGCATTATAGTTGTTGAGAGCAGTAAGTGTGCTTGGGCAGGACACGGCATGACCAGATCGAAATGATGGTCGATAATATAATCAACTATAATGATGGAGTGGCAGCGAAGGGGTGGAACAGGTCAGAATACGTCAACCGAGGAGATGGAGCAATGGAATTAGCTTCCGTGCAGCTGCGAGATGAATTATTACGTCGCATGATCATGGGAGGTGGCAATGGCTTGGGGAGGCCTTTATCTGGCTGTGGGTTGATCATGGCTGATGATGAAGCTTTGAATATGGAACCTGAGGATAACATACATAATATATACACTCTTAACTATACCTCATTGTTTCTAAACACAAACTATATGAGGCTGATTACCTATTTTACAATTATGTAAAAGCCAACACCAGTGTGGTGAAGTATGGTATGGTCAAACAACCTGTTGACCAACATGGCATGTGGAGTACTTAATCGAATAGCACATTTACAAACGGGCTTTAAATTAAAAAGAAAAATCCCAAACATTTCTGCAATTGCATGTCACCAAAGCAGTAAATAATAACACTGCGTGGCATATTTTTAATTATAAAGAGATGTAATGTAGTATTCTTTAATGAAAATTAAATGTATTTAGTCCGCAAGTTTTATTTATCTTTTGAAATAGATGGATAAGATTAGCTGTCACCTGATAACCAAGCCAACACATTGCACAAAATGTCACATTTCAAGTCACTAACTGCAATTTTAAGCAATGATATGCAATTTGTAATATAAAATTAAATGCAAGGATGACATTGAGCTCCGTATTGTCCCTCCAACTTTTTGTTCTTAGTGTAAGACCTTTGAGCACAGAAAACGCTGTCATTTCTTAAACTGGGATGACACGGAATCCAGACCCAAATCTGTCACCTTCTGTGTCTAGCTGATAAAATGTGCACAGCTGAAATGCTACCTCTGTATGATGAGCCTTATCCTTTTGCCAAGTCTACCTTGACCCCAGATGTCAGCCCGATATGGATAAATTGCCACAATCTCCCTGCTGCTCGATGACATTACGTCTCTCCTTACTTACTTGGTGAAACGGCTGAAAAGGAGACATTCATTTTGGTCATCCGCATTATTCTTCCGATAAAAGCTCTGAAGATTACCAAGGACAAAAAAAAACCCTGATCAACATCTCGATGGCATCTGCACGACCAAATATCATTCTATTTCAGCATTTTTGGTGAAAATAAAGTACGTGTCAGGGTTTAATGACTTTAAAAATATGCTTTTTTAATTTAAAAAAATGCCGTATATATTTACTGTTGAATATTACATTTTCAGAAAAAAAGCTGCCATTTGATACAGACGTTTCAAGCTGGATAGTTTTTATTAAATCTCCATGCCTCCCTCGTGTAATACTTTATCCCTAATTACATTTGTATTATTCATTACTGAATGTTGCACGACTACTGATCATCACAATTACTTTTATCCCTTTATGTATCCGTAGTGTTGGCACATTGTTGCTACACTAATCTACCAATTATAACCGTCTTAGGCATCCGTCATATTTAGCTTATATTTCATTCAAGTTATTTCTCTGTCCTAGAGGCATTTATTCAACAGACGAACTCACAGTAGGTGTGCATAAAGCAACGGAACATAAGAGAGGGCATGAACTGTCTTCCCTTGCCAAATAGCAAGGCAGCAGTGTGGAGAATGTGTGCATTAGCAGGGTAAAAAGGCAAGCACACGCCCTAATGGTTCTTCAAGTGGAGAAACTGCTTTATGGCAAGATGACAGAATGAGGTTGAGCTAGCAACTTTTGAGACTGATGATTCATCAGCTTAGCAGAGTTATGACACAGTATTGATTCAATGGGTGGCATCGCTGAAAACAAATGGAAAACTTTGATTAAAAAGTTATCTATTAAATTCCTAAACAATGCCAAATGCAAGGAAATGCACTATGAGAAAAGATGCGCAGTTTAAAGTAGAAACTTAAAATGCAGCAATCAAAATTCTTACACCTCGGCTCTTGAAGACCAGTCTACTTAAGGCTCTAATAGATGTCTACATATAACGAATATGGAAATATCAATCAACCTAAAAATGGCATTACTTTAGTAATGAATCATATTCAAGTTACGAGAAGAGTACTGCATGGACTACATCATTCTGCAGAAGCAATCTTCAAATATTCAAAGCTTGGTTTTCTCACGCTACTCATTCAGGAATGGGGGCAGGGAGATCAGCATTGTGCCATGATCAGCTGGTTGGGAAATTACTGAAGTTGGGTTGTCTTTAGAGATGTCATGATTCACCCTCTCCCGCTGCCCATAAATTTGATCAATTGTCGAGACACAGGATTGCAATCAGATTCACGAATAGTTGCAGGAATCACATGAACGCATAGCATAGAATCCAATGCCCATTGAAAAACATCGATTCTTATTCGCAGTTTTGACGCATGTAGCTTAGGAAATTATGAATGATGCATCATTACACCTAAAAAAATTTCCCTCATTTTAACAAACTGCAGCACTTTCTGAGCAGAATCTTCCATAACCACTGCTTATGTTTAACACTGGCCCTCTGCACATGCAGAGCAAAAAACACAGGCACACGTGTATTATTTGCACTGTTCAAATATTTCACACGACAAGTGTATTGTAATGAAGTGCCCCACTGAGGGCCCATCACTTACAAGTTAGCCACATCACTCCGTGCGCTACCTTTGCGGCATACCAGCGGCCTACACCTGCAATGGACGCGCACCAGGTAGAAACAAGCCTCAAAGTGAGTGCAGTAAACAGATACGGACGGAAGACCGTTTGTTT